TAAACAAGTGCTGAACAAAATAAGCAGCCTGAAGATGTTATCTTGGATTTTGGGACATTATGATGAGAATCTTTCAATATTTTCTGATATTATTCACAGTTTTCTGACATTTTCTTACTATTCTCTGTTCATTGAGAAAATAAGTGGCAGATTGATTCTAAAGATAATCACAAGCTGAAGCTTTGCATTCAACATACAATGTTTTTTAAATGCTGATTTAATGTGCACAGTGCTGAAAACTTCCTGTGCATGTATTGGTTGAAGAAAATGTAAAAGAAAGTAAATGAAAAACAGGTTTTGTCTGTTTTGAATGTTCTTGTGCACCACTAATCTAATTTTTTCTTCATATACATCCTAAATGATTTTTAACAAACCCAGGTTTTCCAGTGCTTCTCTGTCAGTCTGAGGATGTCACTCTGCTGTGTTCCTCAGATGAATTAGGTCTGATCTACATCTAAACACAAACCAGACAGAATGAGGCTGATTGCAACAGTAATGTCAACAAAAAATGTCCTAAAACAAGAGGACTGTGTTTGATATGAAGGTGAAATCATCCCCTGGCTGGCTCGTGCACTCACACCTTCAGTGCTGCTGTTAATTGCAGTGGGAGCAGACGAGATGAGAATCAGTGTAAATTTATGTGAAGACCACCAGCGTAGTGAGTGATGCAGCTTTGTCTCCTCCAAATGATCTCATCCTTTTGCATGGTGTCCATATGACCTGTAAGAGTCTCCATCCTGGTCTGTGATGGATTTCATGGCAGCTGGATGTCTGAACCTCAGCAGCGACCCTCACTGATGAAGCCGCTCTTTAACTCTGGTAAACTGTGTTTGTTAGCTCCAGGTCTGATGCTGTGGAGTTAGAAGTGAGTTTGCCAGAGCTTTGTGTCTGCTCCTCATCTCTGCAGCACTGGCTCCAGGCTACATTGGCAGATGCCAGCATGACACACCCCGACATCCACCAGTAGTTGAGTTACATTGTGGGTAATGGTGGCACCAGGTTGTTAGGTTGTGCAAGGATGGGTGGAATAAAAACAACTTGTCATTCCTGGTTCTGGTGCTTCGATTGTGATCCTTTTAAAAACCTGTCCACTCTGAGTACTATGCCACTTTACATATAGTGATCAAGGTGGATCATCAGTTAATAGAGTAACATTTATGATCAGATTGGCCCCAATTCAACAAAAGTATTTTCTCATCAGAGATGTTTCAGCTTCCTGTGGTTGATCTGTTTTTCTTGTAAATTATGATGTGTAGGAAGAAAATGAAGGAGTTCAAAAATCAGACTTTTTCTTTTAATCCTGGAAGCACACAGCTCCATGCACCTCACAACCGAATGCCTCCTGGTATCACCTGCTTACAGGAGCCATGTTTGGGTGTCAAATGTTTGGGCTGGTGGGTGTTTATCTTGGAAACATCTCTGACTGAGAGACACAAACCAGCAGCAGAAACAAGTAAAGCACAAGAGCAAGTGTGGCGTTTATTGTGCTGTGGGAGCAGCGCTCGGTCTCTATGAGAGACAGTTGCAGCAGCTGGAACAACTGTCACAGGCAGGGCTCTACAAGCTCACTGTTCCCACTGAAGTCAATAGAGCAGACTCACTAACTGCCAGGGCTGTAAATTAAACTGCAGATGTTGAACCCAAGTCAAAATAGAAACAGATACCTAAATGTGGCTGGCGGGCGTGAGAGGTTCACATCTGAGGGCAGCACCTTGCAGGACTGGGCCACCACAGACTGACGGTCAACCTTATAGTGAAATCTTGCTTCTAGCAAAGTGAAACTCTTACATTTTCCAGAGGGAGAAGAAGTGGAATTTTTAATTAGGAACCTGAACCTGTCTGTGAGAAAAAGCTTTGAGGCAATCGTTATTCAAGGCAGAGAGGATTTCCATGTTTCCTAAAACTAAACACTGCCTTGAATTTTGAACCTGAGGGAAACCTAACTGGAAGGAAATTACCAGTCCCAGTCTGTGTCTGCAAGCAACGTGCTTCTGTGTTTCCGCTGTCTTGAAGGATTCCAGCACTTCCACGTGCCAAAAATGTGTTTAGCGTGAGCCCTTAATGAACATTTTCACTCATCATCATATAACTTACTAAAATAAACTGTTTCAGCTAATGCTCAGCTCTAACCGACCGGCCGTCAGTCCTTATTGGCAAAGTGAGTACAAGTGGCCCACGGTGGATAGGGTGCTTGATGATGGTAAACAAAAACATGATTAAAGCACAGAGAATGTGCACACCTGACCTTTGAGGAAACACTACAGTTTCTTAAAACAACATTGAAAATAATGACAGAACTTGGAAGAGGACAGTAGGAGACTCACCTTCTCCCTTCTGACTTGGAGATTTGTACTGATTTCTGCGAGTCACTCACACCCAGCCGCACCGAGTGACGTGATGCTGATGTTGTGGACTCGGTCCAGCAGCAGGAGCTCTCAGCAGCTGCCTTCTGCACCAAAACCTGCTGCTGCTGAAAGCGGATTTGGGCTGGATGAACACAGCTGATCTCACAAGTATTAACAAGATTTGGTTGTAAAGCTCTCGGGGGTGGGGGGGGGACACACACGGGCGGTTAGACCACTTAGGGCTTGACTCATACTTGTGGATCCGCTCAGCTACTGTGTGTGCTGGAGGAAATGTGGAGAGAAAATCTCTAAATGTGGTTATATTTATCTTTTTACTGTAATTTAATACAAACATGCTTCTTTGGTGGCTTGACTGATGTTTTTCCACCCTCAGACTGAAAACCATTTTATATACAGTATATCCAAAGCTACTGTTTATGCTGGGCTGTGAAATCAGAGGAGTGACTTTTTAAGAGTTAAGATTTTGATTTTACTGTTAGGCTAATGTCAGACTTATTGAAGTCTATGAGATGAAGTTGAAACTCTAGAAAAACTGTAAATCCAGTTTGTGTCCAGCTACTGTTTCCAGGGTTGCAGTTGAACTGTTTTCATCTGCAGACTGTTTCAGAGAACATAGTGAAAGGTTTGTTAAACTGTTTATTTCATGAAACACTTTTTATAAACTGTGTCAAATTACCTCAAAGTACATGTCACAGTGTATAAAACCGTCGCTCTGACCCATGTGCTGTCGACCTGTGAGGCTGCAGGTTAACAAATGGCATGTTACTGGTTCCACTGGGATTTATCAGCTGACCAGCTATGGGCCCATAAACCGTTAATGGGTCCATTAATGGGTCCATTTCTGCTAAATGTGACAAAGTGAACTCTGCTGAGCTAATGTAAATGTTAAGGTGGGTTTTAATGTGTTACTGTCTTTGTTCCAGTGGGAAACGGAGACTTTGGAAATAAAACCAGTGGCGAGTATTGTCATGTGCAGAGACCTTGACTGAAACAACGAGACAGCAGCTGGCAGAGAAATGGTGACCTGCAGTGTAAGTGCTACTAAACTGTTCATCTTTTAAAGTTCTGGAAACACTGGCAACACTCAGCTTCCATTCAGCCACAAAGTTCTGGAAACACTGGCAACACTCAACAACAAACTGCATCAGTCGGCTCAGATTTCCTGAGCAGACTCACAGTCCAGCATCCTTCCCTTCCCTGGTTTCCCTAAACAACCAGAGGGACTGTTTCCCTGGTCTGACCCCAGCGATGATTCCCTCTGTCCCCTCCCTCTTCCTCGTCCTCCTCCTCACTGGTCCGGCCCTTCTGACCCCGTCCACCTCCCAGGAGCTGCAGGTCAGAGGCAACAGGACACCGAGGGACGCAACACAGGACTCTGTGAAGGTGATTCACTGGTTGGTTGGGTTTGGGATGAATGGATGGACTGATGGTTTGGATGACAGGTTGAGACATCTTGGTTCAACAGGTTATTCTATATAACTGTTTTCAGACAGTATGTATGACCATTGCTCCTACAGATGTCCCAGTCAAGTGTTTTTGACCCCAGTCCTGATCTGAGTCCTCTAACAAAGGGTATCTGCTGATACTGAGCTCAGTCCAGTAAAAGACAGAACCCTCCAAAGTTTATGCTGTTGCTGTCACCTCCATCACCTGTGAGAAGTCTACAGTGTGTTGGATATTTTTACTTAGGATGCCTTGTCAGTCATGTTGAAAGTAGTTTTCTTATTTAAACCCCGTGAAGTGGTAGCAGTGCAGATGCAGCACGTAGCAGTGGGACTCCCACTCTTTTCAACCTTAAAGCAGCCCATCCTGAGGCTGTAAATTGTGGCTCTTTATGACACTTACTGCCCCAAGGGTAACAAAGGACAGCAGCTTTGCAGCACTGTACAAAACACAATCACTCACGGGGAACAACAAAGGTTGACACGGGGATGATCCCTGCTGCAAATACTGTACCTGTTACACAGGGTACTTCAGGATGGTGGGTGTTGCTGTAGTGGAGCTACATCTTCCCCAGGTTTCTTCAGAAGGAGCTACCTGAATCTGAAAACCAAGCTGTTGTATTTGGAGGAGTTTTTGTACAGTGCCTGGCCTTGACAGAATATACAGTATTTGGCCTTGAAATATAGCTTTTTATAGATGAATGTATGCAGGAGGTGGGACACAGTGAGGTGCTGGGGTTGACTCATTTCCACTGTCATTCTTGCAGGTGGTGATCTCAGAGGGCTGTGCCACTCAGGGTGGTACATCTGACGTGAGCCAAGGAGGTAAAAACCCCACTGGTTTTACATGTTTCAAAAATCATATCAAGCAAATGTAGCTTTTCTCTCTGCCCAGTGAAACAGTGAAGCTATGATGCATCACCTCAGACTGCAGCCCAGGACCATCCAGCGAGCTGTGGCCTCACAGCATAACTCAGCCTGCTCATCTCTCTGCTTCACAGGTAAAGAACTCAACCTGGCTCCTGGTTCTCCTCTGGTCCTGACCCATAAGATCAAATTGGTTCCATCTGGTTCTGGATCAGGAGCCAGGCCTTGTGGCTGTGAAGCGGACTTTGTTCCCCTGCGTGAGAGGCGGGAGAGGGAGGTGTCGGCCCTCAGGGAGAAATGTGGAGGCGCTGAGGGCGGCTGCTGCACCTCCAAGGAGAGCAAAGGTAAAACCAGCTGCTCATTCTTATTGTTCTACCATGAATATTTATTATAAAGTTAATCATGTCTTCTCTGAGGCTTAGTGAGCCAAAAATCCAAACACCCACCCTGAAAGCATATGTAAAGCACATCTTTCTCAGCATGTAGTAAATAAAAATAACTGTCAGTCATTTCTGTTTTGTCGATCACCTACCACACAGTAAAGCTGGTCAAAATGAAGCCATTAAGTCTTGGACAGAATAAATGATAAATATAAACCAACCCCAATGAGAACAAGCTCTTCATAGTTTAAAACATTAGAAAGAACAACAAACTGTGCAGCAGATAGGAAACATAAAAGCGATGATTTGATTCATAGTGAATCAGAAACTGTCTCATCCTGGGGTGAACCGTCTGTTGTATCCCCTCTGGGGAGTGTTAACATCAAGAAGAGAGGAATCCAAGTCTAAACACTTACAGTTGTAAATTTTAGCCCGTTAACATTCATCACATTGTGAAATGACACATCTGGGTTTTGGTGGTGTTACACTGCAGCACAGCTTGTGTTGTGTTGAATAAACACCCTCCTCTCTGCTGCTGTTGGTGATGAATTTATCTGACCTGCTGACCTGTTACACCTCATGCTAACACCACAGGGACTACAAGGACAGCCACTGACGTAGCTGAGACACAGGCCTCTCCCTCTCCCTGGTTTAATGTGGTCACAAAATTTTAAAAAGCACTGAAACTGCCTTTTTTTCTGTTTTGTTTTTCGTGTTTTTCTTGTTGAGACTGACAAGTGTTAATATTATTTTTTTAGATAGACCTGGTTTACTGTTGTCTTACTGAAGAAAATTGTTTTTTTGTTTTTTTTGGCACATTTATGTTAGCATCATTCCATCATGCACATCCTCCACCAGAGTGGAGCTGACCTCAGGGCACAGAACATAATAACCTGGCAGAACTGGAACCATGAGCTAACTGTGTGTGTGTGTGTGTGTGTGTCCTCTGATCTCTGCCCAGTGTGATCTCAGTCTCCATCTCTTCCCAATCCAGTGCAAATTTCCCTCCACCCTCCTCTCGTCAACACACACAGATAAATAATTAGATAGTTAGTCAAAGCAAGGCTGCATGACACTCTGATTACAGAAGATTAGACCCCCACCCCCTGAAAGTAAAGCAGAAACCTTTTCAGTTCTAACTCATTCCAGTGCTGTTTCCAAGACCTTCCATCATTAGAACTGTAAGATGCCCCAACGGTTACTGCTCATGATTTTACTGTGGGTATTCATGTGATGCTTTCCGCAAGGCGTCTCGCTGAGGGGTTGTATTTAATCCTTGTACACTACTGCCTCATTTTTAGGAGAGTGCAACGATTCATGATGAACAACGACATCTGTTGACTTCGTTGGCAACATGGCTGCGCTCAGAAATTTTGGGGGCAGATGCTCAAGCTAAAAAATGGCACCCCTCTCACCATTCTGTGAATGTGCCTGTCAGACAGTGTGACTGAAAGAAATGATGACTTTTGTTTACTAAAAGAGCAGAACAGACTTGAGACTGTATCAAAACCAACTTTCTATTCTCATTTTGCTTACCTGGACATCTGTTTGCTTCATCTGTCTCTCCCATTTTCTTGTATTTCAGGTGCAGGTTGCTCCATTAAACCAGACGTTGACAAGTGTCCCAACGAGTGTAGCGATCAAGGTCGCTGTGTGGACGGGAAGTGCGTCTGTTTTCCTGGCTTCAGGGGACCAGACTGCAGCCAGTCCAGCTGTCCCGGAAACTGCAACAACAACGGGAAGTGTGTTGATGGACACTGTGTGTGTAACCCTAATTTCACTGGTCCCGACTGTTTGCAGAGAGCCTGCACTGACAGCTGCAACAACCAGGGCAGGTGTGTTGAAGAAGGACACTGTGTGTGTAACCCTGGCTTCACTGGTCCCGACTGTTCACAGAAAGCCTGCCCCAGTAACTGCAACAACCAGGGCAGGTGTGTTGAAGAAGGACACTGTGTGTGTAACCCTGGCTTCACTGGTCCCGACTGTTCGCAGAAAGCCTGCCCCAGTAACTGCAACAACCAGGGCAGGTGTGTTGAAGGACATTGTGTGTGTGACCCTAATTTCACTGGTCCCGACTGTTCGCAGAGAGCCTGCCTTGACAACTGCAACAACCAGGGCAGGTGTGTGGACGGCAGGTGTGTGTGCAAGAGAGGTTTCACAGGTCCAAGCTGCTCGGATAAATCATGTCCTGGAAACTGCAACGACAGGGGGCTCTGTGTCAACGGTCAGTGTGTGTGCAGTCCTGGATTCACTGGCCCGGACTGCTCAAAGAAGGCCTGTCCTAACAACTGTAATGACCGTGGGCGGTGTGTAAATGGTAAATGTGCATGCAGCAGTGGATTCACTGGTTTTGACTGCTCTGAAATTTCATGCCCAGGAAACTGCAACAAAAGGGGGCACTGTGTGAATGGACAGTGTGTCTGCAATCCTGGATTCACTGGTCCAGACTGCTCCAAACGGGCCTGCCTTGATAACTGTAGCAGCCGTGGGAAGTGTGTTAATGGTAAATGTTTGTGTGACAGTGGCTTCACTGGTGCCAACTGCTCTCAGATTGCTTGTCCTGGTAACTGCAACAAGAGGGGGCGCTGTATTAATGGACAGTGTGTTTGCAATGATGGGTTCACTGGTCTGAATTGCTCTGAAAAAAGGTGCCTCAGTGATTGTAACAACCATGGGAAGTGTGTTAATGGTAAATGTGTGTGTGACAGTGGCTTCACTGGTGCGGATTGCTCTCAGATTGCTTGTCCTCGAAACTGCAACAAGAGGGGGCGCTGTATTAATGGGCAGTGCATTTGCAATGATGGATTTACTGGCCTGGATTGCTCAGAAAAACGATGCCCTAATGATTGTAACAACAATGGGAGATGTGTAAATGGTAAATGTGTGTGTGACAGGAGCTTCACTGGTGGAGATTGCTCTGAGATTGCCTGTCCTGGAAACTGCAACCAGAGGGGGCGCTGTATTAATGGACAGTGTGTTTGTGATGATGGGTTTACTGGCCTAGATTGCTTGGAAAAACGATGCCCTAATGATTGTAACAGTCGTGGAAAGTGTGTTAATGGTAAATGTGAGTGTGACAGCAGCTTCACTGGTGCAGATTGCTCTGAGATTGCCTGTCCTGGAAACTGCAACCAGAGGGGGCGCTGTATTAACGGACAGTGTGTTTGTGATGATGGGTTCACTGGCCTAGATTGCTCAGAAAAACAATGCCCTAATGATTGCACCAATCATGGACGGTGTGTAAATGGTAAATGTGTGTGTGACAGCGGCTTTACCACTGACGACTGCTCTGAAAAAACCTGCCCTAGAAATTGCCGTAACAGAGGACGCTGTGTTAATGGACAGTGTGTTTGTGATGATGGCTTCACTGGCACAGACTGCTCTGAAAAAGCTTGTCTCAACAACTGCAGCAACCACGGGATGTGTGTTAATGGGAAGTGTGTTTGCAATGTTGGTTTTGCCGGACCAGACTGTACTGCCAAAAGCTGTCCCAATAACTGCAACAACAAAGGACGGTGCATAAAAGAGAGGTGTGTGTGCCAGCAGGGGTTCACTGGACAGGACTGCAGCCTGTGTAAGGAGGGGATGACCGGACCCAACTGTGATACAGGTAAGTCAAACCCACCAACACACCTAATCTGAAAAGGAAAGTAGTCTCTAAAGAAACCTATATCATGTAGAGGTATAATAATGTAGAAATATCATGCTGGTAGTGAAGGACTAGTGAGTTCAATTTAACTCTAGATGAAATAAACCACTAATAGAGGAACCATTTTTATTAGCTATCTTAGTTACCATTTCTCTGACTTGCGGTGTACCACAAGGATCTATTCTGGGTCCCCTTTAGTTTGCTGTGTAAATGCCTAGCTTTTAAGAAATCACTTCTATGCAGATGATATCCAATTATACATTAATTTAAGCCACACAAAGGACCTTGTTCTTGTTTTACTTCTAAGGAAATTCTTCCATTTTCACTTGCAGTAGAAAGGCATGTCTAAATCCCCTAACATGCAGCCTAGAATACTCTGTCAAGGTTGTTGGCCAGGCCCTCTTAATGGTCTCATGACACATCTGGGCCTTGTTCTATTTGCTCCACATCAAACTGAGGTTTCAGTTCAAAATTCTTGTGATTCTCTTTGACATTTCTGTCTGATTGGACACACGCATACTGATCATTAGCAAGTTCCTGCAGCTCTGCATCACTATTCAGTCACTGTGGTCTTGTGTTAAGGAGGTCTTGGTTGTACCTTGCTTCATGTCTAAAAGTAAAAGGTTTTGTAATTGTTGCTTTTATTTTTACCCTGTAGCACTTGGCAATGATCTCCCCAGAGAAAGTCTATATAAATTAACTTTAGCTTATTTTCCTTTCATCAGCTGCACCGTTGCAGGTTAACTGTTTTAACTGCAAGTAATTACACACTTACTCTCCATTGGCCATGTTCAAGTATCCTTCTCCATCCAGCATCACACTGGATTTATTTTTCCCATGTGCACCACTGGTTAATAACCTCAGGGAGCACACTTTACATATTTGGAACATCAGCACACAGCACATGTCAGTTTTGCTTTACTGTAATTTTCACATTATAACTTGATGGAGTTTATAGTTTGTCACTGGTGTATGCCTTTTTGCGGAGGTGGTCTCACTGCCAGTGCTTGCCATCAACTTGATTTCCATCTCAGTTGTCTCAATTTTTCTTCAAATCCTGCTCAAAGCAATTATGAAATCTTTCTCAACACTGATGACCTTTATAAGCACTTTGCTAATCTGATACATCATTATTTGCGACGTCAGTCATGCTCCCATTTACGGCTATGTTTGTTGCTGCTGTCAATGCTGTTGCCAGGCTACCTTAGCATATTAGCTTGTGTGTTTGAAGCTGGATCAAGTTGCGGGGATTCCAATGACGGAAGTGTTTCATTAACAGAGTTAACAGGAAAAAGACCTGTTTTCCCTCATACTGCTGCGTAGCAGCTTTCTTTGCTGCCTGAGGCTGACATAGAACAGACACCTGTGTGTGTGAGTGTTAAGTGTTTTCTTAAATGTAACTGACCACATACTAGAACAGAGGGATTTCCCAAAATCTGAAGTCCCATAGGGCAGCACAGAGAAATCAGTGGGCAGCAGTAACTGCTAAGTATGTTTCCATCCTCCTGTTTTTGTACATTTGGAATTTGTTCAAAAATACCTGAATGGTAGAAATTAGAGTTTAAAAATCAACATGAATCAAATCTGGAGTTTACTGAGGAGTTTAGCAGGTAATTCCTGGAAGACATTGTTGCGGAAGCCCAGAACTGACAAAAAGCACAAACTTATCAAATAAACAGTTTCACATGGGAAGCACCTCAAGTTGTAGAAAAGCTACTGCTGATGGTTTACTCATATTTCTCTTCCTTATGAATCTTCAAACAAAATGAGTTCATGGAAGATAATTCATATTTTCTTTTACTTTAGAAGGGCACATCAAATTATATGTTTTATATGTGTGGTAGCCAGCGCCTGTCACTCCAGTGCTTTTGTGAACTGCCTGTTGGGTTATGGTAATCGCTTACAGGAACATTACATCAGTGTCTCAGTGATTTTATGACCAACCTGTGCACTAAAATAAGTCTGTGAATTATTACCGAGCACACCTTCCCTGTGTGCACTTATACTTCAGCCATGTGGCTCTGCCAGGCTCTTGACTTCATGTTGGCAACTTCTCAAAGAGCCACATGTTTCTGCAGGAGTCTGTGGCACAGTGCAGCTTAAGTGAAACACTGACAGTCTCAGTGGCTCTAATGAAAGTTCATAAATCTGTGTGATAATCTGTCTATAAAGCTCCACCAGCTATGCCTCACCTTGTAAAGATGATTTAGCAATTTTCAGGTCACAAGATGTCTAGAGATTCTGGTTAAAACCTGGCAAAAAGGCAGTTTCCTATAAATGTAGCATATAAAAGTTGTAGTATTTAAGAATAAATGTCTTATTTTCTTATCATGCAGACAGCTGTGGCACCTTTAGTTCGTTCTGTTAGTGTAATGTCATAAACCTGCCCACATTGTTTGGTTTTATTGCCACCTGGGGGCAGCAGAACAAACTGGAGACACATTCACCTCATAAATTTGATATGAGCAAACAGCTGCCTCCTCCCACATTTAACGGGCACAGACAAGCAGTCATCCTGTTGGAGTGGTGTTTGCGGCCACTGTCTCCTGAGGACAAATATCTGGGCATTTCCAGTCCTTTTATTCTTGTCTTTTCCGTGGCCCTCGCAGACCTTTGGTTCCCTGTGCCTGTGCCGAGCTCCCAAACTGTGAAGCTGGATACAGCCGCTAATGATAAAACCAGCCTCTGTATCATTTTCAGCAGCAGCTCATATTGAACGGTTTGTTTTATGGTGGTGGAGCCAGTGAGCAGCCAGGTTCACTGAGGCTGAGGCCAAACTCTGACACACACATAAATCACTCTGTTTTGATAAAGTGGATGTCTCAATAGAATTTTTTTTAAAGAAGAAAGAAATTCATCAGGATCATAAATGGATGCCTGCTGCTTCATTTGTTCCACACAGGTTCCATTGCATTAGTCTCAAGGAGAGATGAGAGTTTAATTTTAGTTTTACATCACTGTGATGAACCTCTTAGTTCCTCAGGTATTCACTCAATAACTGACTGTTTTCATTGTCTCTCTCTTTCAGTCATGTCGGGCGTTTCCCAGCTGAGCACTCAGGACATCACAGAGACGTCCGTCACTCTGGCCTGGACTCCACCTCCTGTCCAGTATGAGACCTATCACATCACCTTCACCAGCCAGGTACACATGTCACGTGTACATGTAATTTTGCAACTGGCTCTGTTCTAGTTTTCAGTGTTTTCATTCTGGTTCTGGATGCAGTTGATCCCTTTGGTATCACTACATTCATGGTCTCAGTCTGTGGGGGCATGTTCACATCGGTTGGTCTGTGTTTACATCTGTGTGCTTTATGTTCAGTCTGAGCACAACTATTGGTGCATGTTATTAGGAGTTATTATTGTGTGCTCAAGGAAATGAGCTTAAACAAGAAGCACTGAGTGATACAGTATGTGGACTGTTGCCTCTGAGTGACCCTGACTTTAGGTGAATGCCTGCAGACACTACTCAGGGTTAAATCAACAGCCCACTTTGAAGTTTGGTTACTGCTTTTATAGCTGATATTCTCCTATAAAGACACATAAAACCATAATATGAAACATTATGATTTGGTATTATAGGTTTATATTGGATTAAGACTATCTGTTGGTACTGCCATTATCATTACAAGCACAATAACTAATTTTGTGATTAGTTATTTGCTGGACATTTGCAGGAAATAAAAAAGGGAAATTTTAAATGATGTAGAGCAAGATAACATCCTGTTTAAGACAGGAAGGTAAAAAATAGACGAACACACATACAGATATTTCCCTAAATAATTCAGACAGCAGATGTGTTTGGCTTGAGGCTCGTTCTCACAGAGCCTCACTGTCCCCTCTGATTCTGGACTCAGAGCTCAGGGGGTCAGATCTCTGCCAGATCACGTCCATAAGAACAGGAGAAGAAAACTGGTCCCGAAATTTAGACAAGATCCTCAGGGAGTTTTAAAAGCAGCCGATGTGGCGGCAGACAGGGCTATAAAACTGTGGTGCATCACCTTAAACAACCTCTACTCACTGAGAGGATGAGATCCATAACACTGGATCAGAACCTAATGAGTTTGCTTTCAGCTTGGAGCTCTGTTCATTAGGGTGGAAGAGAAGGTCAGACTGTTTGTTTTGCTCAAGGCAGTGAAGTCCCATTTAAAAGAGCTCCAGCATGAACTGGTTAAAGAAAACAGTGACAGGTCAGCTATAATAAATTCTGTGAGGTTTTCAGAGGGCAGCTCTGTCTGCAGATCATATTGAAAAGACATTTCACAGTGTGTTTTCCATGACAACAAGAGTAAAAACAGTTTCCACAAAACCCCAAAAAGATGACAATAAATATAGCTAACATTTGGATTTCTACGGTTCTAGGATTAATTTCCACCAAATAAAAAATATCCAGTGAAACGTCCTTAAAAGCCCCAGAGAGGATTTACAGCACACAGGATCTCCAACAAAAAACGCAGGAGCGTTACAGTCGTTGGTGAGGTCATACTTCAATTGAAGAAGGTCATTTATTTTAAAACACCTATCTGGTAACATAGTAGGATATGGTCAGTGTAAATGTGGCATAAAATAAACAACGTCAGGATATAAAAAGGATTTTAGGGCTTGGACATAAATACCCTTCCCTTTCTTTATGAGAGCAAGATGTGTGTAAAGTACAAACGATGGTTATCTTAGCTTAGCATAAAGGCTGACATCAGGGAGAAACAGCTAGCCTCATTCTGTCTGCTGTTTAAAGCTAAAATGTACCAACGCCCCTAGAGCTGGTTGAATAACTTTAGTTTAATTCACAGACTGAAATGTAGAACATAACACGTTGTGGTTTCTCGATGAACGACATTGTATCCATCCATTCACCCCTTCTGTGTAGTGCCTTTGGTCGGTGTCCGTGCCGACACGATGGTCCACACCTGACGCCCTCACTGTGACAGGACGGCTTCTACATTCAGGCTCCTCCTGAACCCCCAAACTGTGGCTTGTACAGTCTGTGCACAGATGAGAGACATGCCGTGCTGAGCTCTTTAGAGCTGTTGTTAGATAGTACAGATGAGCTAACATGTTCCGACTGCAGCTTTGTATTTAACACACAGGTATAACACTGACATTCATCTGAACGTTTAGCTCTCATAACGAAAGCAAATCCCAGATGAATCCTAAAACTGTTTCTTAGAGTTTTCTGTAAAGTTTTGAGACTCAACAGCTGCAGCAAATCTCTCTGAAGCTTTTTCTTCTTCTGATGTCTCATTAAGATCTAATGTCTGTTTTTAGACACTTTCCGTGATTTTCCAAGATGTGATTATGTTTATGAGAATAAAAATAAATATTGGCTGAAAAATCTTCAGAAACTCACAGAAACAGTCTCCATGAGAAATAAGTTAAGAAAGAGGTCTCAGTTTTTTTCTGATGTTACTGTAGGACTGTGGCTTTTTATTTAAAGTGAAGAATCACTGTTGCAGGGTAAATAACCAAATACATTTCCATGACGGACACTAAAAAGAATGATGTGTGAAACTGACTTAAAGTCCCACAGAGGATCTCTGGGCAGTAAATCACTGCTGAGGACTCTGAGGGATTCCTCTGGAGTTGAGCAACCTAGACCAAAGGCCCTGCTGTAGTCAAGCAAGTGCAATGACCGGTGCAAAGCGGGAGGACTTCCCGAGTTGTTGCTGACTGTGCCAGGTGTGCACTAACATAATAATTCAAGATTCTATTTAAAAGCACATAGGAGACTTACATACATCACAGTGGCATCTACTCAGGTTTATGCAATATTAACACAGAGAGGAAGAAAGTGCACAGATAAAACTGACTAAAGCAAAGATAACATAAAAAGAAATTCAGGTTCAGTTCCAAAGCTACTATGGAAAAAAAACAAACTTTAGAAGAAGACAAGTGGAAGATGAAGCTCCACAGCAGCAGACAGTACTAGAGTTATTATCTGCTGATTTAGAGTTTAAAATAGCCCACTGAACACATTATATCTAACAAACATCCCGATGTTTATAATATTTCATGTTGGTTTGACTCAACATTAAACTGTTTGTGCTCCCAGATCGCCAAAACATGAGTCGCTGCAGAGCCCCTGCTGCACAAACAGGTTTATACAAGAGCAGCTTGAGGAAGCGGGGGGGGGCTGGAGTCATGAACACAGGTGATGCTGCTGTGGCTCAGGTTTTGAACGCACTGCACTAAAACACCTGAGTCTGAGGGAAAGAAGTTGAGCTATTGGTTTGATTGTAACAGGTGAAGTCGCTGTGGCTGAAGTCATGTTTTATAAGTTGTCATCTTTGTGGAATGTGGGAGACACTAACATCTCGTATTCTCACTTTTAAAAAGTGTTGCATCATTCTTCTCAGACCAGATGTTTAGCCTTTTAATTTCCCTCCCTCACAAGACTCTCATAAGATAATTCTAGGGTGTGTCGTTAGCGACAGCGTGAGCAACACAAACAGCATCAAATCATCTGTCGCAGCGGTTTCCTTGGACAAACACAAACTACAGCATAGCAACACTGTCTCTTTCAGAGGAGTCTGTTCAGTCAGGGGCCAGACTGACAGTCTGTGTGTAAGGTCAACACCCTGAGGTGTGGAATGACCGTCACAGCCTCTAGGTGGAGCTGGCAGAGCCGCCACAGAGTACTGGTGGTCGTGTTCACTCCCAGACTGGCACATTTATCATATTGCACTCACTGGTGGAAAGTACATTTACTCAAGTACTGTACTTAAGTACAGTTTTGAGTTATCTGTACTTTACTGTAGTATTTTCATTGTGGGCTACTCCATACTTCAGCTTCATTTTTATAGCCAAATATTGTACTTTTGTGACAGTGGAAGGGCTGAATGTGCTTTAAATGCTGAGGAGTGATTAAAATCAAAAACATCGGTGTCACAGACTGATTGGCCCCCAGAGCCCACACCCTTAGGTGTCATTTTGTTCTGTGAGGAAGGAAACCACATTAACTGCTAACCTCTGCTTCAGGACTGTCTGTTTGCAAACATCTGTGATCAATCTGCAGCAGAAACATATTAAAGAAGTGGAAAATTACTAATTGCAAAGGTATTTATAAGAGTTACACTGAGGGGAGGGAGGGAGAGAGGGCTGCCAAACAATTTCAAACTTCACTTTCTAAATCTAAGAATTTATTATTACAAGCACAGAGTACTTAAGTGGATGAAGTTGGTGCGCGCACACACACACACACACACACACTGGGCAGCGTCTCACCTCACCACACACGTCCTGGGTTCCTCTCAGCCATGTTTTCCCACACACACAGCTATAGCCATCACCTCGTACTGTACATTTTTTGAACAAAACAGAGCAGCGCTCTCCCTGCGGTGACATCATTGAGGGATTAAGGCTCAGTAACAAGTCTGAAAGAGGTTTGGACCAGAGCAACAGCATCAGGAAATATCCACAGCTGCCCACAACTGCAAAGAGAAAAGACTAATAAATGGATGGAGAGAGATGAAGGGATAGGTGGGGGAAGTGATGGAGAGGTGCCTGAAGAGTCCTACAGGGAATGAGCCTGGAAACGATGAGAGGATGTAATGAAAACAAGTAGACAGCTCACGATCATCTTTATAAACCCACAGAGCAGAGGAATTGTCCTCTAAGGAGTCCATGTGAGACAGAGAGAAGAG